TGTTACAATGTGAGAATTACTGTCTCTTATACACATCTAGATGTGTATAAGAGACAGATGTGCACGTTGTTCCATAACAAATATAGTAATGAACGAGATTACAATAAAAACTAAAGTCAAGTTAAAGCATTTTTGGAACATAATTTATTTAACACAAATATTTCGTCCACTCCTTTTACTATTTTTGTTTATTTCTCATTAAGTTTAGTACCACCCATGCCTTGTTTCTTGATATGCCAATTGAGTTTCAGCAACTTGTAGTTAAGTATTTCTAACGTATATCGCTTACGCTGGTGAAGTCCAGCAGGAGAGGACGAAATATTCGTTTTAAATAAATTATGTTCCAAAAGTAGGTCAACTTGAGGGTAGTTATTTTTATTATTTTTGCTGCAATATTCAAGGGTTGAGGCTTAGCGGAATGATCCGTTATCTCTTCATTCGGATGGGAGGACGAGCTGTTGGTTCAGTATTCTTTTAAAGCCATTGGTAAACATAACATTTACATTGAAATAGCATTGTAAGGGTCAGCTCTGAGTAGAAAATGTAGTAATAAAACACAGGTAAAACTCTCCCCCCATCCTCACCCACCATTCACCCCCTTGTTTTGGGGCTGGAACTTATATATTAAAAAGTGATTGAAACTTCATGGTAACAATCTATCCCCAGCCGGACACCATAGCAGTATTTATGAGTGAGCATTCTTTAGTTGTTTTTCTCTGTTAATGTAACTTTCCCCTCCCCCAAAATATCTTTATATTTCGAAGTGAGAAAAAGAAATCAGTGTTGGCTCCATCAGCAGAAGTGGGGGAGATGGGGGGGGGGAGTAGGGATGGTTAGTCTGGGGAAACAGGATTCTGGACTTCCCGTCGAAAAAAAATTCGCAGTGAGCACTAATTTTACAGTCTCAGGGTGAACTTATTTGGTATGAATCCCCCTATCGAGAAATTTGGATCTTCATCGGGAAATCTCCTTCGCCGTAACTGCATTACGGTCAGATCGGAGTGGGGCTGGGGAGAGGGAGTGGTGGTGAGGTTTCGTCCCAAGTGGCTAGGACAATTCGAGGGTGGGAGCTAATAATGGGTGAGCGCTGAACTAATAATTGTGTAGGGTTAGCCCACCTAGTAGGGCACCTGTTTTTTTGGCAGCAATATTCTTTCAGATACCTGGCTGGTTGTGCACCTGTCTGCTAACATCCAAATTACGGTAAAAGCATGCTTGTATGTGAACTACTGTTTATCGTAGACACGTCGTCTCCAAAAACATCTTTTAAATTATTGAAGTTTGGAATCTTCTAAGTTTGGAAAATGTACATATACGGTAGGTAAGGTAAGTGTACTATGCTGTACTGTAGTGTATGCCTACACGTTGTTTATTTAATTGCGGCATTTATTGTTGTGTTGTTGTTCAGGCCTACATTTTTTTCAGACTGGGAGCTGTGCTCTAAACTCGGTTTATAGAGTGTCCTTTACATTATTTTTTATGTACTATTTTAAAACATCGCAGATCTTAAATTTGGCCATAATACAATGGCATTAAACCGGAGTATCTGAGTGAAAATCTAATAGGGAGATACAGATTTGTTGTGTGATGACATACCTCATAGTTTTAGTCATAGGCAGTGTTTTTGCAACCTATATTCAGAAATGTAAATCTAAGTACTCTTTACAATTAAGTAAAATAATTTTAATTAATTTAATAAAGTGTAATATTATTTATATAGTTACTTAAAAACGATCCATGGCTCGTAAAATGCGCTTTAATTTAAATAGGCCTATAACAATCGGATGAATCTACAAATTCATGAAAATGCAGATAAAGTGATTTTAATGCCGTTAATGTTCTCAAAATCTTTGAATATTTATACATTTTAATATATTTCCTGCATTGTATTCGTACTTCGATTTATTATCAGCATTTTTATTGTTTTTTTTAAATTATTCTATACTGAATATGCCTATATATATATATATATAATATATATATATATATATATATATATATATATATATATTTTATATATATATATATATATATATATATATATATATATATATATATCTTTTATATTTACTGCACTGTACTCGTTTTTCAATATATTAAGTATTCTATAATACCGTAACAATGCACAGATAGGAACATAAGTCTATACCAAGTGGACCAATTGTTGTATAAGGAAGGGGGAGGGGGCGGTGGATACCTAAAACTGTTGACGGGGTAAAGAAGAAGAGCCGGTTGGACCACAGATTTGGTATTGTAGTATGTTACAGGGATTCCAATAGTGTATTCGTTAAAAGTTTACAAAAAATTAATTCTGTACATTTTTGTCTGACTTAAAAATTTGGACCTTTTTTGATTGGGGGAGGGGTTGGGGACGGTGGAGAGCGTACGCACCCAACTCTTTATTAAAATAGCGTTTTATTAACATGTACGCTTTACACATTGGTGGATCTGAGGAGTCAGCCCCACCCCCACCTTATCTGGGCAAAAGAAGAAAGAAACAACAAATTCTATACCAACTTTTTTGAGCCGAATTTTTTTTTTTTTGTTACAATGGGAGAATTAGAAGTCGGGAAAGCTCATTTCCCGCTATCTAGGAACACAAATGTTCCCGGGAGTCCCTTTCTATTAGGGGTTCATCGATACATGGAAAAAGTATACGTATGCAACTGCTAATTTTTTTCTGTATGTAAGTCGGTACACACATAATAGGCATATTTACTGTATAGGCCTAAAGAATGAGAACAGTTTACCTGATCGTTTTCAGGAGGGGAAAACCTTGAATTTTGAAGAAGTTAAAAGTCACTTCGGAAGTCGGGAAAGCTCATTTCCCTGCCATCTAGAAATAACAATTTTCCCGGGAAGAACCCGGACCCCATATCTTTTTGGGGTTCATCGATTCATAGAATCGTTTTCAAGAGTGGGAAACCTTGACCTTTTTGGGGTTTATCTATTCCTGGAAAAAAGAATACGTATGCAACTACTCAATTTTTTAATGATATGTATACACACATAATATTCCTATTTACTGTAATAAGATTGAGAAAGTTTTCCAGACCGTTTTCAAGAGGGAAAAACCTTGAATTTTGAAGAACTTAAAAGTCATTAAAACACACCTCAGAAGTCGGGAAAGCTCATTTCCCGCCATAGGCATAGGCCTATTATAGGAATCAATATTTTCCCGGGGGAGGACCCTCGGTCCCCTATCAATTTTTTTCCCTTCACATTTTGAAACCTCCCCCCCCCCCTCATCCACCTTCCTAGATCCCTGCTTTACAGAATGTATATTAAATCAATTTTACAATCAATTCTATTTTCTGAATTTGCATTTTTATACCTCAGGAAAGTATGAATGTCATAAAATATATTTTGCATGTATTTCTCACTAGTTCATTCCCTTTTATTACAGTGTTTCAAGTCAAATCTATACTGATCCACCAAGAAGTGCGAGATCGATGTACAATCATTGTCACCGGAACACGATGTATATTGAATTGCTGGAACCATGGAGGATACATGGAACACAATGTACCGGTGCTATCATTCGCCGGATTTATGTGCTCTTCTCTGCAAATAAACGCGCAAGGATATTTATTAGGTTTTATAACCACTGGATCATCGGAATTTTATTTAAATTTGCAAGCTATATTTCTTGTACAACGAACAAGTAATCCTGGAACGATATTACATACTTATCTATGATTAGGCCTAAGCATGATATTATATTATATAAATCGACAATCTTTGTGAGTTATTTATGTTAAGTTTATGTAGTTCTGATGCAACATTCCCGAGTATGTAAGAAATAAAATGTGTAATTTAAATACATTATTGTGTATACTTCCTTTGTCGTAATTGCATTATTAATATATATATTTCAAAGCAATCTGATAGGCCTAATCGAATTAAACATATTATAATCAGTTCAAATCGAATATATTACTAAGGCTACTACTACACCTTATGAACACTAACATTTCCAAATATTCGCATCATACAAACAGATTGCGAAAATTTTCAAAGCAAGGTGCCGTCAAACAGGAAATGACGTCTGTTGCTAGGTTACAGCTCATGCATATTCAGTAACACCTGTGCTCATTAGACTAACAATAAAAACTTTTAGCTCAGTTTTGACAAAATCGACCAAAAAGATTTTATTGTTAGTCTAATTAGAACAGGTGTTACTGAATATTCATGATTATGCATGAGCTTGTTGCTTAGCAGCCACGTCATTTCCGGTTTTATGTGTCTTTTTGTTGAGGGCGTCCTCGTAAAGATTTCATTGCTAGTTTAACAGGTAAAGCAGTTGATGTTGATGAAGTAATTTTTCTTCACTTTTGGTATAAGATATTTTAGCTATTTAATTTTTTTTAAAAAGTAAACACAGACATTGAATAAGTTGAGAAGAAATGCATAATTGCAATTGATATTTATTTCCAATCATTGAAATCAAGATATTCCCTATATGTATACATTTAATTTTATATATTACATGCACAGTCGGCAAAAATCAATAGACCATACAATTTTATATCTGATTATCTTACATATGTTTATATTCTTTGCAACAATATTACGTTTATTTCCTCTATTTTCTTATTAACGGTAATAATATCAATAAACATAAAGCCTACAAGTATTAGGCCTAAGACTTTTACTAAAATTGTGATTTTTGCAGAAAATTATTTAAAAAAAGTCGCAAGTATATTTTATTTGAGTTCATATCCAGAATGTTTGCAGGAAGCTTGATTTTTTACATCGTTGGCTTTTTACAAGTAGCTGGTAAGTTCTGTTGCCCTTTTACGATCGAGTCTGGTGATATTTGTGGATTCGTTGTCACTGGAATATAAAAATATTGGGAAAATATTAATTAGAAACAGAGAAAGAATTATAACGAAATATCAAAACATGTATAGATAAATATTAGTGAGTACCCCAACCTGAACATGATCATATTCAGCAATGTATATGGACAATGCTGCTGAAGCAGCAGAATAGTATTTCACACTTATTCATATCTGCATTATCATAGCCTATACCGTAAAACCTTTAATAGATGCCCTGGGTTTTTTTTTAATTATTATTTTTTTTTTTGGTGAACTATAAATGGGCTTATTTTAGAGGCTACTTTTGCAAACTAAAAAAAAAAAGGGGGGAGAGGGGCTTCAATTTGAGATGGGCCCATTGGGCTTTTATTTGAGGTTTTACGGTAGTAGGCTTATAGTATCGTCATACCACATAATGGATGAGGATTAATAAATAAATAAATGGTATTGGGTAGGCCTTTCGATTGAAAATAGTGTAAACAAATTATTTTAGCATTCGATTGTCATGTGAATAAAATGTTTAAAAGTGTACTATTCGATAGAAATGAATACAATATATAGATTCATACAGTACCGGTACATTCAAACATTTGATATAAACATAATACCATAACTATATCTTCATACAAGCATTTTCATGATATAATATTTATTGACTGAGTGATTGAATTTATTCGATGTTCAACATGCACAAGCAAAATAAAAAATTGTGAACCAGTAAAGTAAAAATTAAAGAACTTCAGGAACGCCCATTAGGCCAGAGTCCAGCCCATTTCCAATGAGGTCAAATTTAATGATATACTGTTTGTCATGGACTGATAATTGAAAAATTTAATTCCATAATTGAATATTTATATTTAAGTAAGTTACTAACTTACAATACTGTATGACATTTTTTCCCTGTCTGCAATACCTTTGCTACATTCTTTATGTATACATAAACACTTTTAAATTTTAAAAAAATGGCTAGTAATAGTGTCAATTTAAGGATTTTTGTAGTAAAATGTCCGTAAATAAGGAAAATATGTAAAAAGTGAAAACAGTGGATCTAACAAAACTGGTTGGGGCTGCCTAGAGCCTCGGCCAGGGTCCTATAAAATACATGGGGTTCACGGATAGACATTTTACGGGTTAGGCTCGCTCGTGGGCTTGACTACAATTGGATTGGCTATCAAAATAAATTTGTTTGGATCAGCATTGTTTAGTCGTCGAGTCGGACGATGGGAGTCGATGTTAGTTTATAAGTTATGGTAACTCGGGCTACATGAGCAAGGCTAGTTGCTTTTGAATTAAAAAAATAATAATTTTTGGCTATTTACAACATACCACCTTTATGCGGAGTATCCGTGCATGCACATGATCACTTAGAGAGAGTGACGTTAACCCATGTACGGCTCATGTAATAATTTTTTCTGACTTAATTTTTATTTTTCATATTTCGACTTTCTTAAGGAGGGGCGCCATGAGAGTTTTCTTTTAAACGAATAAGACAGCTGTAGCTAGTGACGGAATCAAGGGGGTGGGGTGTGCATTCGGTCCCCGTAAATTTTTCAAAATAAACAAAAAATTGAGAAAAAAAATTAGTGAAAGTCTCCCTATGCCTATTTGATACCAACATCATGGTACATCCTTGATCCGGACGATATTAATATCAATTTATGAAGAAGGTGTCATTTGGGCCTACCTCATCACATTCGCTGTCCTTTAGAAATAATATGGAATATATTTTCGTCGGGGTCTAATTTCGATTGTTCATGATTACGGTTTGTGCACCAGATAATGAAAGCGTCTTGATAATAAATTTCATGTAAATATCAATCTACAATGTAACAAGCCCCACATTTCTTTAACCAGTTATTTGGTGGTTTTAGCAAGTCACTTGGAATGTGTGTTATTGTTGAATAGAATGCAGCCATGTCAATGCATGCCTCCGTCGAGGAATATGTCAATGCCTTCAATGCCTAACAAACTTAGTCAAAAAATTAACTATAATATGATGACAAAATTCCCAATTCTATTGCATTAACGATAGATTGCATTGTACTTACATTTTGTTATTGATTGATTGTTATTGATCCTTCGTAGTCTTTCAACTCCACATGCAATGTTGTTTATATTTGCCACCTGGTGATGTATCAAAACAATTCATTATTCATTTTCTAAAGCCCCATTCCTTTATCAGGGGCGAAGTTAGGAAGAAAGAGTCGGCCACGCCCCACTCCCTTTGGAAAGAAAATATAGGAATTAAAAGGAAAAAAAAAAAAAAAAAAAAACGCCTCATAGGTCATTCCCGGGCGTCAGAAAACAAACATTTTGCTGGGGCATTCCCCAGACCCGCTATGGTAGCATTTTTCATGGTATAATATTTATTTACTGATTGATTGGATCTATTCGACGTTCAACATGTACAAGCAAAATAAAAAATTGTGAGCAACAAATGTGAAAATTAAAGAGCATCAGGAACGCCCATTAGGCTAGAGTCCAGCCCATTTCCAATGGTGTCAAATTTAAAGATACTGTATGTCATGATCTGATACATGAAAATTTTAATTCTATAATTTAATATTTATGTTTAAGTAAGTTACTAACTTACAATTAAATATCGGTATAATTTTTTTTTTGTCAGCAATACCTTTGCTGTATTTTTTATATATACATAGACACTTTAATTTTAAAAAAGGCTGGTAATAGTGCCAATTTAAGGAACTGACCGTGGTCTGCAGCCTTGGTCAGGGTCCTGGAATAAAATCCTAGTTCATGGAGAGGTATTTTACGGCTTAGATTCGCCAATGTGATTTTTGACCACAATTTGATTGGTTATAAAAATGATTTTTTTTTTGGAATCGGCATTTTTTAGTCGTCGAGTCAGACGAACGGGGTCGATGTTAGTTTATAAGTTATGGAAACTCGGGCCACATGAGCAAAGGCTAGTTACTTTCTTTTGGAGGGCGCCATGAGTTTTCTTTTAAACGGATATCGGAGCTTTATAAATTTTCAATATTATTATAATTACTAATATAATAAAATGGTCAACTGCTCTCTATTTTCGAAGAAATACAATTTGACAGCTGTAGTCACTGGCGGAATTAAGGGGATGGGGTGTGCAACCAGTCCCCGTAAATTTTTCAAAATTATAAACAAAAAATTGAGAAAAAAGAAATTTGTGAAAGTCCCTTCCTAGGAGGCCTATTTGATATCGACATCATGGAGGTACATCCTTGATCCAGATGATATTAATATCAATTGATAAAGACGGTGTCATTTGAGCCAACCTCAATCGCATTCGTTTTCCTTTAGAAATAATATGGAAAATATTTTCGTCGGGGTATAACTAATTTCGATTATTCATGATTACAATTTGTGCGCCAGAAAATGAAAGATTCTTTATAATAAATTTAATGTAAATATCAATTAGAAAAACAGATAGGACTCTACAATGTAACACGCCCCAAGTTTCTTTAACTGGGCTGCATATTACCTGGAGTCTCCTACGGAGACGCACAAATTGCTCTGGACCTGCCCCGCCTTCAGGACCGACTGCTGGAGATGAGTAGGAGGTATTTTACCAAACTTAAATCCAATGAGCACCGACTGAACCACCTTCTCCCACCACCAATTGAACACAAATACAACCTAAGACACAATAAAACATTTTCCATAACACACATGCGTACCAATAGATCTAAACAATTCATTATAAATCATGGATTATCTTATGAATAGTGATTCAGTCGGTGGTCTTTGTACTCCAGCACAGTGTCACCATGGAAGGCTGGATGGGCCCTAGCATCAGCCTCCCCATAGAAGGCCCCAGGTAGATTCCTGGTTGCTTTGCAGTTGCTCTGTTTTTGCTAGCCTTGGTAGATGATCTAATTTTTTTTGTTAATTTTTAATCGTGTTTTTTTTTTTTTAATGGATTTTTAATGTGGGTCCTCTTTGTGTTTTTTTTAATATTTTGCTTAACCGTGCAATATCTTAAAATTTTAAATTTGGTAATTGACTTTTGTAACTAATTCTTGATGTTTTTGCGATTCTCTTATGATTGCAATAAAGATATTTGTATTAACCAGTTTCAGGAATTTGGTGGTTTTAGCGAGCCACTTGGAATGTATGTTGTTGAACAAAATGCAGCCATGTCAATGCATGCCTCTGTCAAGAAAATTGTAAATGCCTTCAGTGCCTAACAAACTTAGTCAAAATAATAACCGTAGTATGATGACAAAATTCCCATTTCTACTAAATTAACGATGCAAAATTTTCAATACTGTACTCACATTTGTTATTGATTGTAAAGTCTCCTTCGTAGTCTTTCAACTCCAAGTAGGCTACAGTATTGTTTATATTTAAAACGCCACCTGGTGAGGTATCAAAACAATCCATTATTCTTTTTCTAAAGCGCCACTCCTTTATCAGGGACATCAGGGACGGAGTTAGGAGTGGGGGGGGGGAGGGCGACCCCCCGCTCCCTTCGGAAAGTAAAAAGCGAAAAAAAAAAAGAAAATAAAAGGAAAAAGAAAAAAAAAAAGAAGAAATTATTGACCGCCCAAAACACCTCAGAGGTTATTTCCGGGCGTCAGAAACAAACATTTCACGGGAATTCCCCCACCCTCAGACTCCCCTATGGTAGTGTTGTCTCACGATCAGCCCCGCTTTCGTCCCCCCCCCCCCCCCCCTCG